TGGAAAAATTTAATTTTAGAAACATTTATGAGACTAACTATGGGGACCTCAGTAAGCTGCTTGTCAAAGATAGCCTTTAGATCGATATGATTGAATATAGTGGGATTTATAATGTTATTTTTAGCGATTTCTGAGATTAGAATCCTATTTCTGGTGAGGAGTGTTTCGAACAAATGACCTGAGTCAACAAGCCCGCCCTTTCTCTCCTTGAGGATCCTATTGACTGAGTCTGTGAGTGAATTGATATGTTTCTGTGTTTCTGTGTTTGTAGCGACCTGTCTATTATTAGCTTCAGTGAGCGATGCCTGTTTATTATTAATCCTACTAAGATCGTCCGCGTCGGGCGTACCTGCCATGACCTTAAGGACTGAGCCCAAAAAATCAAGGCTCCTGGCCATCCTGTGGTGTATCTTGAGCTCATCCAAAATATTGTGGGCTTGTTCGATGTCAACATCTAGCAGCTTCCTCATGTGGGATTGTGGCAACAGTTCGAGCATTCTGACCGTGGAGTCAATTACGCTAGAAAACTCAGACAAATTCGTCGAGTGCTCAACTAGGCCATACTGTTCCCATACTAAAACATTCTCGTCTAACACCGGGATGTATTTCGAGAAGTCGGTGATCCGCGCACTTGCGGTGGACAGCAGCACGATTGATATTACGGCAAGCCTGTGGCAAATATAGCAAGTATTGAGTGTTAAGATAAGGGCGAAAGTGGCAGCTAAAATGCCTATCTGATTTTGTCCTTATGAACCACCCTCCCCCTAATGAGAACAGATGTTCCCAGATCTGCTTCCACACGCTCTTCCGAATAAAGCGGCGTCAACTTGTTCCCTAATCTCCTGTTTTTATGTAGGTGTACTTTTTCAACAACTTCGAAGACTCGGTTCTGTCTAGAAGGAATAATTCTGTCCAGGTTAGACTTTTGCGCTTTTTCAAATTTTGACTTTAATTGCCAGTTCGATCTCGTCCCTGCTGGCGTGGATGACCTCCACTGGCCTAAACTTTGTGACCGAATTATGCGACCTATTGTATTCTATAGTAAACCGCAATATCAGTTCCACAGTATCCTCGATTTTTTTAATCAATTTTGAGGCATCTGGCGATTTCTGCCACGGTGCTGTGAAATCTTTATACTTGGACATTGGAGCTACTGTGTAACGGTGGCGTATTGACAACATCGATGCTGTATTGGTTTTTAGGCAATGATGTGATTGTTTTGGAGTTGAAAGAGGCCTCGTTGTCGCAGTATATTGTTTTAATATTTGGATAGACATTTACCAACTGGAAAATAGGAGCTCGTGCGTCTATTATTGCCCTAGAAACTAGGGATATCAAATTTGGACAATTTGTCAATACAGGTTAAGAAGATTTTTTTGTCAGTAGAAAAAATGTCGATATGCAACATTTCTCCTACGTATGAAGGGATAGGTGTATTTCCTAATTCCTGCTTCTTTGGATGACGGTCATACTTTGCTTTATTGCAGACTTTGCTATTTGCGACCACTTCGCTAGCTAGTCTTGACATGTTCGGGAAGTAATAATCCCGGAGGATTTGTTTTGCGTTCTCCTGCGCAGCCCGATGGGCGCGATTGTGCTCGGTGTTAGTGATCTCAAGCTGTTTATTGGCATTGGCAATGTCGCTGACGAAGGATTTACAATGCCAAAACTTTGTTGCAGGGAACTCTTGTCTTAAGGCATGTTAAATGCAAGCCAGGGTAGGGAAATCGCAGTGATGTGCCGAGTTCTATTGCCGAAAACGATGAAGTGGCTGCATTGGACTGGGCCTCAGCCTCTAAGAGGTTGCCGAGACAGCGCGTCAGCTACAAGGCTTTGTTTTCCGGGTGTGTAGAACACTTTCCCGTTGTTTTCATCAATAAAGGCTTTCCATCGCTTAATCTTAGGGTTGGTATTTTTGTCGGATACCGCGTATGTAAGAGGCTGGTGGTCTGTGAAGATCCGTACCTCCTTAGTACCGTATAGGTACAATAGTTTGCCTATTGCCCAGACTATCGTCAACAGTTCCCTTTCGTTGGTGGAGTAGTTTAGTTCGCAGTCTTTTAGTGTACGCGAAATCATGGTAATGGGTCTCCTATTCCACACGCTGAGGCGTCGGTGATTAAGTCAGACGTAACTTAAAATCGGGGTATGTCAATATAACATCTTCTGATGACAAGATATTACGAAGGTGGTCGAATGCGTTTCGCTGGGTTTCATCGAACCTGACAGTTACTTTTTTCGACATATTCTTGCTGACCGTTCCGTTTTCCCCTTTGAGAATGGCGGTGAGAGGTCTAGCAATAGCGGCAAAGTTTTTTACAAGACTTCTGTAATAGCTTGCCAGGCCAGGGAACGACCTGAGGCTAAACAGATTTTTTGGTTCGGGGAACTGTTTTATTGCCCTAACTTTTTCTGGATCTGTTTTGGTTCCTCCTCTAGTGACAATGAATCTTATAAATTCTTTCTTTAAAGAATTTCGTCTTTTCCCGCGCCACCCTCATGTTGGCATCGAGCAGGCGCTTAAGCACCATGTCAATGTGCTTAACATGTTCAGTTTCACTTTCAGAAAAAATGATAACGTTATTGTTCGGAGCAGCCCGCCATCGCCTAGTCTAGTGCGCATAGGTGTATGGCTGAACCTGTAGCGCTCTTGCGCTCTCCTCTTTATATTTCCCTTATCTCGCTAAGCTGTCGCGCTACCTATTCCGCGACTACATTTGTAAAACCCGATTTAAAATATGAAGCCAGGCTTTCGGCTGCAGCAGTGCAGACTCGACTGGCAGAATAAACACGACTCGTACATAAACTTATAAAATTAAAAGCGTTATTATTACATAACCTAAGGGTGGCATTTTTGTTTTCTTCCCCCAAACATTTTGGTGAACCCGACGTGATCGCTGTTTTATTTGCCGTCTGCAACTCGATTTTATTATTGTTTAATATCGTTTAAACAATATATTTTGGTTTCGCTGTCGTTTGCGGGCATTCGGTCACAAACACACGGACTTACATATGTACATTCAAGTGCACACAGCTGGCCGTTTAAGTTTTACATTTCGCGCTGTGAAAAGCCGGCAGGCGTTTGATCATTTCGTACATTTCGTTGTGCTGCAAATTATAAACAAAAGGAGAATAACATTTAACTATTCTAAAAGTGCATAGTGCAGTGCATACATATACAAAATTTCAAGTCCGCTGTTATAAGGCGGAACAACAACAACAAAGTTCCGTTGCGTTTTCGACGACGCTTGGTGCCGCGCACAGACATCGCTGGAACGGCTTGATTTAAAGGAGACTTCGAGTGATAGGCGATGGGAATTTTCGGAGGTTTTTATGGATGTGAAGGCGAAGCTCAATAGAGGCTTAGCGGCCCAGCGCAAATTGCAATTGTCGGGTAGCACAGCTGCCAACTCCACATCTATAGACATCAACTACCATGCAGATCTTTCTTTTCGGACACGGAAGCCTCGATTACCCAACCTGGAGATTGCTCGTTTTCACGGATCTTATGCTGAGTGGCCGGACTTTCTCGCAACGTTCACCGCGGTCATTGGAAATGATGACGAGCTAAGCGACATTGAAAAGCTGCAATATTTATGGTCTAGCCTAGGCGGCGTGGCTCTGGAGACCATACGCTCGCTCGAACCTTTAAATGACAATTATAAAAAGGCTTTGAATCTGCTCATAAATCGATTTGATAATAAAGTTTTACATTTTCAGGCACACGTTCAGGCAATATTTGGTTTAAAAAGTGTCGAGAAGGGATCTGCCAAGGGTCTTCGTGAGCTCAGCGATTCTATAAACGCACATCTTCGGGCAATCCATACGCTGGCCACTACACAGCAAATTTTGGATGGATTACTGGACTCGGGAAAAATGGGAAAGAGGATTTGCTAATCGCTGAGTTATCTTCATGGACTGCTATGGAGTCGTTTTTGGAGAGGAGGTGCAGGATGATGGAAAATTTGGATCAAGCTTTGGTAACGCAAACACCAGGCCATCAGGTGGGAAAAAATGTGCATAAATATAACCCAAGTGCACTCATTGCATTTGCCAAAGTGCTCTCGATTTTTAAATTTGAGCCCGCATCTTCGATTTAGAGAAGCCAAGAAAATGCACCTTTGTCTAAATTGCTTGCGCAAGGGGCATAGTTTGCAGCAATGTAAATCAACTCATTGCAGAGCAATCTTAGATTCTGCTTCTCAATTAAACTTTATAACTACGCGCCTAGCGAGCCAGGTAAATTTGAAATATAGGCATCCGCATACACTCATTTCTGGGATCGGTGAGTCCTCTATGAACTCTGATAAATCAGTGGATATTTTTGCGCAATCAGGAGATGCAGGCTATCGTGCGTCATTCACAGCTGTTGTGACTCACAGTATCACTGATTATCAGCCGAATTTCAACATAAATACATCAGGATGGAGGATTCCACAAAACATTTCGCTCGCTGACCCTTATTTCAACCAATCACAACGCACTTGCTGCCATAGTAAAGCGATTTTGGGAAATTGAGGATTGTAATCCATCAAAGCTAGCACTGTTACCTGAGGACTTGCAATGCGAACAAATGTTCAAGGAAAACTGCACAAGACTTGGGAATGGCTGTTCGTCTCTTATCCACTTCGGGATTCGAAACTTTAGGTGATTCCTATTGCCTAGCTCGTCGTCGTTTTAGGAGTTTGGAAGCTAAGCTAAATAGAAACCATGCTCTCAAAGCTCAGTATTCGGCCTTTCTCCAGGAGTACATCAACTTAGGCCACATGTCTCTCGCACCAAAAGATCCAACAGTACCACAATTCTTCTTGCCACACCATTGTGTACATAAGCAGGAAAGTACGAGCACAAAGCTTCGGGTCGTCTTTGATGGGTCTGCTAGAACTACTTCTGGCAGCTCTCTGAACGACTTGCTTCTTGCAGGGCCAACAATTCAGCAAAAAATCTTTAACATTCTACTTCGCTTCCGATTTTTTGCCCTCTGTGGAGACATCTGAAAGATGTACCGCTGCGTGTGTGTGTCGCACCCGGATGACTTTTTGCAGTGTATTGTTTGGCGAGAGAAGTCCACGGATGAGTTGAGTGCTTACAAATTGAACACGGTGACTTATGGTACCAAGCCAGCTGCCTTTTTGGCTATAAGAGCCATGCATCAGCTCTCTTATGATGAGGAGGATTCGTTTCCAATTGGAGCAAAAATTGTTCGTAGGGACTTCTACGTGGATGATTTAATCTCTGGTGGCGAGTCAATTGAAGAGGTTAGGGAAATTCGTCGTCAGGTGAAGGAGCTATTGTCGCGAGGCCATTTTCCAATCCGCAAATGGTGTTCTAATGATGGACGCGACCTCGAAGGAGAGTCTGACTGCGATAAGGAGAAGCTAATTCAATTTCACGACGGATCAGCTGTTACCAAGGCGCTGGGACTAGCCTGGGATCCAACTTCTGTTCAACTTTTCTCAATTATCTGTAAATCATCGAGTCACCAAGCGTATTGCATTTTCAACAATAGCCAAATTCTATGATCCGCTCGGTTTAAGAACACCGATTGTCACAAAGGCCAAGATCTTTTTGCAATCCCTACGGAATGCTAACGTGGATTGGGATGACACACTGCCAGAGCCTATTCTTTCGTCATGGGGGGAGTTGACCTCTCAGTTATCGATCGTCCAAAACTTGAAAGTTGCATGGATTCTGCGATGGTAGCATAGCGGCTTATGGAGCGTGTTTATACTTGCGGTCGGAGGCCAATGGAGAAGCAGAGGTCCATTTGCTCTGCGCCAAGTCGAGAGTGGCCCCTTTAAAGGCTTTGACAATTCCAAGATTGGAGTTGTCGGCAGCGCTTTTATTGGCGGAGCTTATCGTAAGCGTCAAGGAAACCATCGATTTCAAATGCGACTTTCATTGCTGGTCAGACTCGTCTATCGTACTGGCGTGGATTCGGCGGCCTCCGAGGGATTTCAACGTATTTGTATCCAACAGAATCGCGAAAATTCAGGAGATGACAAAAGGCATGACTTGGCACCATGTTCCAACAAGCTTAAATCCGGCGGATGTCGTATCGCGAGGCTGTACCCCGAGAGAATTGCTGGAGCTCTCCCTGTGGGCTAACGGGCCTCCATTCCTGCTGCAAAGCTCGTCAAAATGGCCCTCTCTTCCAAATGCAGTTAAGGATCTTCCAGAACGTCGTTCCGCAGCGCTAGTTGGAACTGTTTGCACTGACATTTCAATCAACTGCAAATTCCTTAACTCTTTTCATAAGTTGCAGCGTGTATTTGCGTACATTTATAGGTTCATTTCGAATTGCAGAGCAAAATCTTCACCTTCAAGGAACAGTGTTACCGTTGAGGAGCTCAATTCGGGGACCGTACTTCTTCTGAAGAGCATCCAACAGGTTCACTTAGCCAAGGAGTATGGATGTCTTAGCCAGGACAGGCCGTGTCCACAGAAGAGCAAGCTGATTTCGCTGAGACCAATAATCGGCTTCGATAGATTACTTCGCGTTGGTGGAAGACTTCAGAATGCAAACCTGGACTACGATACGCAGCATCCGATATTGTTACCCAAGGATCATCCAGTTACCAAGGCAATAATCATATATTTTCATAGAAAATACTTGCACGCAGGATCGCAAGCGTTACTTGCCACATTAAGGCAAAGGTATTGGCCAATTGGAGGACGAAAGTTCGTAGCTACCGTCATCAACAAATGCGTCAGATGTTTTCGGATGAAGCCTGCCAAGTGACAGTGACAGCACGTTATGGGCAGCCTGCCAGCAAATCGAGTTCAGCCTAACCCAGCATTTCATACCACGGGAGTGGATTATTGTGGACCCTTTTATCATAAGGCAGAGGCCCGCAACAAGACGCCGCACAAGTGCTCCATCGCCGCTTCTCTACCAAGGCCACGCATTTGGAAGTCGTCCAGGATCTCACCAGCCTGAGAGGCACTCCGCGCACTATTTGGAGTGACAATGCGACGAATTTTGTCGGCGCTAAGAGCGAGCTAACCGAACTGAAGAATTTATTTCTGAGCGAACCCCACACGGCTGCGATAGCTTCCTCCTGCTTAGCTGATGGGATTGATTGGAAGTTCATACCTCCGCGTGCCCCACATTTCGGTGGTTTATGGGAGGCGGCTGTTAAATCTGCCAAACTTCATTTTTATAGAGTCGTCGGTGCTTCCATCTTGGGCCTCGATGAATTGAGAACTCTCGCTTATGAGATTTCTGCCATCCTTAACTCCCGTCCACTCTGTCCAATTTCAGAAAACGCTGAAAGTCTTGAGGTACTAACGCCGGCCCATTTCCTGAAAGGCTCCAGCTACACAAAGTTTCCTGAGCCTGATATCACGCATCTCCGAGAAGGCCGCCTCAGCAGATGGCAAAGGGTGACACAGATGCAGCAGCAATTCTGGAAGCGGTGGAGCAGCGAGTATTTATCCTTGCTCCAAGAAAGGAGTAAGTGGCGCGTCGAAATATCCAACATCAAGGTCGAAAGCATCGTGTTGCTGAAGGAGGACAACCTTCCACCCTTAAAATGGCAGCTGGGGTGCATCCAAGGAGTCGTTCCAGGCGAGGACGGTGTCGTCAGAGTAGCTATGGTCCGTACAGCTACGGGTCTAGTCAAGAGAGCCGTCGCCAAGCTAGCCGTTCTGCCCATCGATTCCCATTTAGTTGGAGCCCTACTTCCTCCAACGGGGGGAGTATGTTCGGAACAGCCCGCCAGCGCCTAGCCTAGTGCGCATAGGTGTATGGCTGAACCTGTAGCGCTCTTGCACTCTCCTCTTTATATTTCCCTTATCTCGCTAAGCTGTCGCGCTACCTATTCAGCGACTACATTGTAAAACCCGAATTAAAATATGAAGCCAGGCTTTTCGGCTGCAGCAGTGCAGATTCGACTGGCAGAATAAACACGACACGTACATAAACTTATAAAATTAAAAGCGTTATTATTACATAACCTAAGGGTGCCATTTTTTTTGTCTTCCCCCAAACAGTCATCAACATAGACGTAACATATTTTGTCAATTTCTTCCCGCAGCACATCATCGATGGCTCTTTGGAAAATACTACCTGGGTTTTTTTGGCCGAAAGGTAGTCGGCAAAATTCGTATTTCCCTCCATTAACTGAGAATGAGGTTTTTTCTCGGTATTTTTCAGCCAGGTATATCTGGTGATACCCTGACTTCAAGTCTAGGGTAGTAAATAATTTGGCTTTACCCAAGTTCGCTAGAATCATCGGTATACTTGGCATGGGATAGCGATCGGCGACTGTTCGCTCGTTTAGCCGTCGATTACTAATCGCTTTTTACAGATGCCATTATCGTCAGTACCTTTTTTGTCAACCACCCAAGTAGGGCTGTTGTATGGGGCTCTGGACGTTCAAATTATACCATTATTCAGTAGTTCCTTGATTTCGTTATTAACAAAGCCCAAAAATGCGCATTATGCATTTGTTTTTGACGTCACTAGAGCCGTGAATAGAGCTCACAGTGAAGGGGGTCTCGACCGACATTTCTTAGCTCCTTTTCAAGCTTAACGTAATATGCCGCCCCCGTGTCGATAAGGATTTTTATTGTTCTGTTAGCCAAGTGTCGCTCGATGAACGGTAGTCGGGAGCGCTCCCTATAAAATAAAAGAGGTCATTAAGACCGGCAGTGTCACTGTCTTCCTCAATGTTGGCAACTTCATCCTCAGCTGTGGCGGAGTAACCTGCCTACTCCTGTTGGGGTTGGGCTATATTTTTAACGTGTTGGCGCCTTTGGCCCGATTGACGCTGAGACGAGTTCTGCCTTTCATAATTGTTATTACTCTGTGGCTTTCTCCAGCTTGATTCCTGCCTGAATTTGGCCGTCGAGGGGTCTTCCTACATGGGTTGAATTTTATTCTGGTCTACATGACCATGTCCTCATGAAGCTTGCCTTGGCCCTGCTTAGGAATGAAGTACGGATTTTTATCCTCACCTTTCAATTGCTTTCCCTGACCCTTATTGTCGCGTCTATTGCCCTTTTGTTTTTAATATGTAATAAAAACGGCCTCGTAGTGGGCTTCGCAGCCGTCGTATTTTTTAAATATTTCATACGCATCTGATGCAGCCTGCCTCCAGGACACGTATTCGTCGTGGCTTCCATTGAATGTTGGCAGAGATTTTGCAATGCCTAATTTGACATCGCATTTTATTTCGGGGTTCCGTACTGCCCTTTGATAAAGCTGAACCTGCGGCGCTTGCACCGTCAGCGCGCTAACCTGCGTTCTAACAGATTCTAACACTAAGGCAAAGTTGCTTCTCAAACGCTCTTCCTGCGCGGCAAGAGCGCTGCCGACGGCATTTGCGACAATCGCTTGGACCATTTCCGGGTTCATCTCTGGTTGGTGTATGCTTATTACTACGGGAAGAATCCTACTTCTTCGCTGTCGTTGCTATCAATTTCCTGCTTCACTTCCCTATACTCGCAACTCATTGGCAGCTAAAGGGAGCTGAGTAAGAACGATTGGGACACAAGATAATTTATTTTTATGGGGCCACTTTTCTGCAATATCAACACAAGCACCGTGGCCAAAACCGCAAAAATGAGAGAAAAAAGTTAATGTGATTTCTTCGCGCCAATATTGAAGCGTCACCTAAAACACAAGGATGTCGAATTAATTTATCCCAAGAACAAATTCAAGTTACGGAATGATCAGTGATATTGGTCTATTCGACTATCAACACTGGATTAATTCGCAAAGAGGGGCAAGGAAAAAAGCGGTTGGCAACCTTTGTATTATATTTATTTATATAAAAAATGTATAGCTTTGTGCGTTATTAAAAAAAAATTTTTAATCATGCACTAGAAAAAATTTTAAATCGAAAATCAAATCAACACCAAGAATATGGAATATTTTGTCATGTAATTATTTGCATTATTTATTCACATAAAACTGCCAGTACAAGTGTACGTAATTTGAGTTACTTGACTTTATTTTTTGTCATGCACTCAAAAAAATCAGAAATCAAAAATCAAAAACCAAAAATCGAGTATTTTTTTATATTTTAATTAAATTCTTATTGCTCTCATTGCTTCTCATTGTATGCACTGTTAGTTGTGTGTTTTTTTTATATGTGTATTTAGCTATCGTTGGCGTTCAGCTACTTACATATTTTGTTACTCCAGGGGTGGACTTCGAATATATTAATATTAATAAAACAAAAGAGAACGCTATAGTCGGGTGCCCCGACTATCAGATACCCGTTACTCAGGTAAAGGGAGTGCGAGGGAGATGGAGATAGAAATTTGATCACGCATAACTTTTTAACGAATGGTCCGATTTGAAAAAATTTCTTCTACATTTCGATAGGTATTGATAAAAACAATAAAACTGCATTTTTACTTTTCCGAAATATTTAAATTTTTAAAATCGTATATAAGCGATTGTGGGCGTTAAAGGGGGCGTGGCACCTTTTTGAAACAAACTTGCGCTGCGTAGGAACTCCTAGAATCTGCATGCAAAATGCCAATCTTCTAGCTTTTATAGTTTCCGAGATCTCAGCGTTCATACGGACAGACAGACGGACAGACAGACGGACAGACAGACGGACAGACGGACAGACGGACATGGCTGTATCGACTCGGCTAGTGACCCTGATCAAGAATATATATACTTTATAGGGTCGGAAACGCTTCCTTCTAGCTGTTACATACTTTTGCACGAATACAATATACCCTTTTACTCTACGAGTAACGGGTATAATAATATTATTTCTTTGGTTGGGCACCAATTATGTATTTCAAGTGCCGGCTGGCTATACGTCCGTGGCGGGGGAGTCGGTAGACTGTGGTTGCAGCAAGTGGTCTTAGCCGCAATGGATTTAGAAGGTGGCCGGTTGGCCCGTAACATCAACTGTAGAAATATGTTGATTAGGCTGAGAGGGTAGAAATATGTTGATTAGGTTGAGATAGGAGTTAGTCACCAAACCGTTTTAAGCCATCTGCAGAAGGCTGGATACAAAAAAAAGCTGGATGTTTGGGTGCCGCATGATTTGAAGCAATAAGACCTGTTGGACAGTATCAACGCCTGCGATAAGCTGCTGAAACGGAATAAACTCGACCCATTTTTGAAGCGGATGGTGACTGGCGATGAAAAATGGATCACATACGATAATATCAAGCGAAAACGGTCGTGGTTGAAGGCCGGTGAATCTTCCAAAACAGTGGCCAAGCCGGGATTGACGGCCAGGAAAGTTTTGCTCTGTATTTGGTGGGATTGGAAGGGAATTATACACTATGAGCTGCTCCCATACGCCCAGACGCTTAATTCTACCATATACTGCGAGCAACTGGACCGCTTGAAGCTGGCGATCGACCAGAAGCGACCAGAATTGGCCAACTGGAAGGGTGTAGTGTTTCACCACGACAACGACAGACCACACACTTCTTTGATGACTCGTCAGAACCTACGGGAGCTCGGATGGGAGGTTTTATCGCATCCACCATATAGCCCGGACATAGCGCCAAGTGACTACCACCTGTTCCTGTCCGTGAATGCCTTTACTGGTGTAAAGTTGGGCTCAAAAGAGAGTTGTGAAAAGTGGCTGTCAGAGTTTTTCGCAAATAAGGAGGGAAGTTGCCGTCTAAATGGGAACACATTATCGAACAAAACTGCGCATATTTTAGCTAAATTCGCTCACTATATCAATTTGTATAGGGAGTTAATTGACAATTACAATTAATGAAACCAGCAAAATACCACAGCAAATGGGACGTCAAAGCTTAGCTTACACGAATGCGGGTACAAGATTAAAAAGGAAATTCGCATCTGAGCTTGCAAATGAAAATAATTCTGACACAAATCTTCTTGCACATGCAGACACTGCAAAGAAACAAAGCAAGAAGGACACGGCTTTTGTTCTTAAAAAAACATAACAACACCCGAATGCTAAACTGAATCGAGAAAGCAATTTGATATACAAAAACCCATTCCACGTACATCCGTGTCATATGTAAGTTCGATTGTAGGGTGATATGGATCATCAGGTTGCATGAGTGGTGCTAAAACAGCGCACAATCGACATAGCTCTATTGTTTTTAGTAATATAGGCATAGAAATTGAAATGTAGTCAATTTGTAATAACTGCAAGGGTATATAAACTTCAGCTTGCCAAAGTTTGCTTCCTTTTTTGTTTTTATCCCGAAATATAAATAGTCCCAAATATACAATTTTTAGCATTGAACCTTAGCCGAATGATTTTTCTACGCTTCCAGGACTTTAATATAAAGTAAAAGCTTAAGAAGCAACTGGACTTTTAATTTAACTACAAACCTGGCTTATAAATTCCATGGTGTGAAAAACTTGCATTCAGAAGAAAAACAACGAGCTTGTGAGGAACCGTAAAACGGCCCTCACAATTTATTTTGTAGCCATGTAAGATTTTGTAGCCATGTAGGATTTTGTAGCCATGTAGGATTTTTGTAGCCATGTAAGAATATTTTTAGTTTAGCTTTTTAATAGCCAACGCACGCAACACATTTGAACCATCGATCGCCTGAGCGCGACCAACACGCTCTCGCTCTCTTCTTCACACACTTCAAACATCAGCGGCTGCACACATTTGAACCATCGAACGCCTGAGCGCAACCAACACACTCTCGCCCGCTTCGAACAGTTTGAACACCTGCACAAAGCCAACACACACATAAGCTTTTCGTCGCACGATCGAACCAAAACGCAACCAACCCGACCGATGTTTTCGAGC